ATGTATGGATCACTTGGGTTGTTACCGACATCTGGTGAAAATTTCATGTCATTAGCACCTCTAGTAATATATTTACTGAGAAAAATGTTGATGTGTTCAATACTTATTTTACCCGCTGTACGTTCATAGAATCAAATATGACTTGTAAATAAAACCACAGCTGAGAGCTGAATGAACCTTTCTAAAGTTTGTTGAAACAATGAATTGTTACCTGAGTTAAAACAAACAACACAGAAGCAACAATCAGCAAAACAGTAGATTAATAACATTAACAAAACAGGAGCTAAAATTGGCACAAAAAACAGAAATACAAGCAACAAACTGGTGGATTAATGCTAAAATTAGCAAAACTTAAAATAGCTAAACATTAGCTCAATTGTAAAATGAGCCAAACAAATGTTAAAGCTAAACTACACAAAGCAACAGACCAAAGTGGTAAAACCTTCCCCTAAACAAAACAAACAAAATAACATAAATAAAGAGGCTACAATCAACTAAACAGTAACCTAATGCTAAAATTAGCAAAACCACAACCAAACGATATGATTCGCAAAACAGTCTCAATTAGCGAAACCAAAGTTTAAACTCAAATGAGCCAAAGAGAAGCTAAAAGTAGCAAACCATTCAATATTTAATACTGTGTTTACTATAAAAAATAACTTATTGAATTGAGAAAACTTAAATTATTTATAGAAATATGTCTTGTGTTTCATGGAACATGGCCTTACCTCTCCTCCAGTTTTTAACAGCATTGAAATGAGAGAGGAAACTGTGCTTTTCCCCTCAGGAAAAGTTTTTTTGAAGGTCAATTGTCTTTTCTACACTTCCTCTGATAATAAACACACTGGAGTCTTGTTGTCCCTCGTCTCCAAGGCGGGGGACTTAGAAATGCTCTCTGTCCGTTACAATTTCAGAAAGCTGTAACTTTCACATAGAAAGGCTAAAGTACACCAAACTTGGTATGAGCCATCCATGTTGCATGGCAGACCACAGCATGTGGTCATATGACATCATCAAGGCCCCACCACCTGACAACAGGAAGTGACATTTATTTTTTTGGCTTGGAAAGCTTCACCTCAGACCCTCTTCACCTAAAGGCCCTGTCACATTACTCATGAACATTTTAAAGACATCTACAGTATGTTGAAGATAGAATTGAAAAAAATCAACAGGAAGCTATTTTTGGCGTGTACATAATGTAATCCGAACAAACTGATCAAATATAGAACTTTTATTTGCAATCTAGACATAAAAAATGTTTCATAAGTTGGCACAAGTTGTCTAGTGTGACAGGACCTTAATCAGAAACAAAATTGTCATGGAGGTGCAGCAAGTCAGACATCATGCCGTTGACATACATTTGTCTCTAAATTCCACATTTCAGCCATTCTGCACAAAATTCACTAGTTGATCCTAACCCACCCCACGACAGGAATGCAGTCCAATTTTTGGATCAAAGCTACCAATTTGTCTCTTTTCTTGCACTTGTGTCTGAGCTAACTCCCCCTACAGCTTTGAACATGCAGACTTCACTTATGTGCTTCTCTTAACAGTGGTGGCGGGATGGTGTGGGTGTGGCAGAGTGGTCGAATGCTGATGCCTTGTCATATGCACACAGTTAGCTCTAAATCACACATGCATGATCCGATCTGCAAAATGTTTGTTGTGCATCATCAGGACAGCTGTTAAACACATTAATGTGTTAGTTAGAAAATTTTAACCCCACCCACATTGCACATGGTTGGCAATAAATCACACATACATGATCCGATCTGAAACTAATTGTGTGTGCATCATAATGGAGACCTGCTCAACACGTTTGTGTACTAGTTTGACAAGATTCCTTTAGTTCACCTTATAAGATTATTGAAATAATGAAGGCCTGTGATGATTCCAACAAAACTGCTAACAGTTGGTCATTACTGAATGGCGATGGGAGACGTCAGCGATGTTTGGTGTTGAGTTCTATCATATTTAATTTTAAGTGAATAAAAGGTTGAACAATGTTTCATTGTTACTGTTTGGAACCATCTAATATTTTATCAACGCACTTATTTTGTTTTTGTTGGTAACAATGTTTGAAATTATTTAAACTAATTAGTTTTCTTTTTTTATTTTGGATTCATTTAGTATTTAATTTCAGGTTTTATTATTTAGTTCTTTTTTCTTTTCACAGACACTTTGGTGCATCAAATGAAAAAAAAATAGCCTTTTGAACAACTGTGGCAGATTTACAGATTTACAGTCATGTTTATTAAGGTGTGCTTTCATATTCAAATATCAATATATTAATCTATAATAATCCAAAATTACTTCATGAGATGCCGTCATAGAATACTGTTTTATGTATATATAATATCTTAACTTTACATTCATTACACAGAACACAAACAGTCTGTTGTTTCTGCAGTCTTCTGCCTCGTTCTGTTGGCTGTAGGGGGTTCAAAAAGCTACTTGACAAGTTTTTCAACAGGAATTTTGTATTTACCTGCTGGTGAGGCAGACAAGTAGCACAAAGGAAATTAACACAGGTAAATGCAAAACGTATTTCAGCTTTAAAAATCACGAGTACAAATTCATGCTGTGTGTAGAATATTACACATTAGAAGAATATTAAGACAATTAAAAAATAAATTATTTCTGTTTTCATAAAATTAGAATATCATGAAAACGTTTGTTTCATAAATTCCATTCAAAAAGTGAAACTTTATTATATTCATTCATTACACACAGACTGATACATTTCAAATATTTATTTATTTTAATTTTGATGATTATAACTGACTATTAATGAAAACCCCAAATTCAGCATCTCAGAAAATTAGAATATTACATAAGACCAATATATATTTAAAAAGGATTTTTAGAAATGTTGGCCAACTGAAAAGTATATGAGAAATATGTACCCCACTCAGTTGGGGCTCCTTTTGCCTGGGTTACTGCAGCAATGCTGCGTGGCATGGAGTCGATCAGTCTGTGGCACTGCTCAGGTGTTATGATAGCCCAGGTTGCTCTAATAGTGGCTTTTAGCTCTTCTGAATTGTTGGGTCTGGTGTATCACATCTTCCTCTTCACAATACCCAACAGCTTTTCTATGGTCAAGCAAGTTTTCTGGCCTATTATGAACAGGGATACCATGGTCTTTAAACCAGGTACTGGTAGTTTTGGCACTGTGTACAGGTGCCAAGTCCTGTTGGAAAATTAAATCTGCATCTCTATAAAGTTGGTCATCAGCAGGAAGCATGAAGTGCTCTAAAACTTCCTGGTATGTGGCTGCGTTGACCCTGGACCTCAGAAAACACAATGGACCAACACCAGCAGATGACATGGCGCCCCAAACCATCACAGACTGTGGAAACTTTACACTGGACCTCAAGCAATGTGGATTCTGTGCCTCTCCTTTTTTCTTCCAGACTCTGGGACCTTGATCTCCAGAGCAAATACAAAATTGACTTTCAACAGAGAACGTAACTTTGGAGCACTCAGCAGCAGTCCAAGTCTTTTTTGTCTTTAGCCCAGGTGAGACACTTCTGACTCTTGTTCAAGAGTGGCTTGACACACGAGGCATGCAACAGCTGATACCCATGTCTTTCATACGTCTGTGTGTGGTGGTTCTTGAAGCACTCACTCCAGCTGCAGTCCACTCTTTGTGAATCTCCCCCACATTTTTGAATGGGTTTTGTTTCACAATCCTCTCCAGAGTGCAGTTATCCCTGTTGCTCGTACACTTTTTTCTACCACATCTTTTCCTTCCCTTCGCCTCTCTATTAATGTGCTTGGACACAGAGCTCTGTGACCAGCCAGCCTCTTTGGCAATGACCTGTTGTGTTTTGTCCTCCTTGTACAAGGTGTCAATGGTCGTCTTTTGGACAACTGTCAAGTCAACTGAAGAAGTCTCCCAAAGGAGAGACGAAGCATTTCATTAAAGAACCCATTCAGAGGGCTTACTCATTTTTTTCCTTTTGATTTTTCTACCTGTATTACCGAGATACAGTACATCAGGACATGTTAAGTCGACAGTCTTCCCTATGATTCTGTGGCCTACAGAAGTAGACTGAGAGACCATTTAAAGGCCTTTACAGGTGTTTTGAGTTAATAAGTTGATTGGATTGTGGCACCAGGTGTCTTTAATATTGAACCTTTTCACAATATTCTAATTTTCTGAGATAATATAATCATCAAAATTAAAAGAAATAACATTTGAAATATATCAGTCTGTATGTAATGAATGAATATAATATACAGGTTTCACTTTTTGAATGTAATTACTGAAATAAGTCAACTTTTTCATGATATTCTAGTTTTATGAACAGCACCTGTGTATTGACTAACATTCTCAAAAAAGAGCGTTTAAAGGTGGAACTTGATGTAATGTTCCCTCAAATTTGTTCCTTACTGGCGAGCAGGTTAAAGAGCAAGTGAGGGAAAGGGGCGACGAGGAGGGCTTCAGAAATAAAAATGTGTTTTATCCCTGAGTTTAATCTGGTAGGCTAACGCAAATTCTGTAGTTAGGCCCTGAATCAACAATTGGACAACATAATGCTGTAAATATACCAGAAACTACACTTAATATATTAAATATCTTTAAAATAGTTCACTTAATGTGCTTTTTGTTGTAGGTGGACATTACGAAGAGGAAGTGCAGCCTTTAAGAATAAACTCAGGGCAACAGTTGAACCAACAAGCTCCGCCCCTCGAAGCTGACGCACCACAGAGCAGTCAGCAGTCACGTCGGCTGGTTAAAAAAACAGAAAAGGGGGTGTTTTTTTTATATTAAAGGCAGTTCGAGGGAACTAAAATCATTATTGTTTTTTATGCTAAGCGTTCGGCACCATGTCGCTTTGTGTTTTCTCTGCTGACTGTACGGCGCTGGGGGGGAAGAGAAGATGCTAACTAGCTTGTTAGCCTAAGATAGCCACTCAAACTGAGGGTGGACGTTGTTAGCCTTTAGCTAAGGAGTTGTTTTTATTTCAGGGGGAGAGAGGTAAGAGTTTACAGCTTTTTATGTTCACTTATTTATTAGGCTGATTTAACCCCCCCCCCATCATGTGAAACCTTGGAATATGTCTTGTTGAATGTGATACGATTGTTGTTGTTTTTTTTTTTAGTTAAACAGCAAATAAATGACACTTATAGCAAATTATTGAACTAGCTAAACTGGCATGTAAACCTTAGTTTAGGATAAAATAAAAAATTTTAAAATGACTTCATAGCTAACCCATAGAAAACCAAAGAATAGTGTAATTGTATGTAGTTACTCTGCTGTTACTAATCTTGGGTTAGGTCCTTTTCATTCTTTAAGACAATGGTTGTCTTCTTGTTCTTTTTAGGAAACACAGACATGACACACAAAGTCAATCTGTGCTCAGTTTCCCTTAACGTTAAGGGAATGACTTGTGGCTCCTGTGTCCAGTCCATAGAGCATCAGATTGGGTCTCTGGATGGGGTGATACACATAAAGGTAACAACTAATTTTAAATAAAAAGTCTAACTTAGACCTGTTGTCTGTTTTGATGAGACTGCTGAAAATGTTTCGCTTGGCTTTTCCACTGTAAGAACAGTGATTACAGTCGATATTGTAACTTTGTCTTTAATATAAAGAGGATAATCTTGTCAAGACTGAGGTATGAACATTATTTTATTAACTAAACATTTCTGTCCTTCAAAGAAGTTAATCAATATTGCAGCCTCAGGACATGATGGCTTGATTTAAAGTGGACTGACATCAGTGGACCACGTGACACGGCTTAATTGCACGAGTGGTGGTCTGCTGTTTTGTTTCATTGCATGTTTACCCCCCAGGCCAATTTTGAATGAGAAGCTAATGTAATTGTGTGTTCCCAGTAGTTCTCTGCCCTTTGCAGGACTGTGACAGCAGGTCGATAAGTACTCTGTACCCTCTGGAAATGTTTGCATCTTAAGGGAATTTAGTGCCTGGATCATTTTGTCAATGTGTCTAGAAATTATCTGCAAGGAGTAAATTGATTATTATTATATATTTTTTTCTTTTTGGTTTGAATACTCTCTCGCTCTCTCTTTGTATTGTTCTATAAAATAAACACCTGAAACTTTAAAATCAGTAAGCAGCAACGAATTCTTTCACTGCTTTCACTGTTATTTTTTTTTTTACTTATTTCAAAATCAGGTGATCCCTTCTGCTTGTCACATGTTTCTTTTCTTGCTCAAGAAGCAGACATGAGGATCATCATGCTGACGGAGCAAGCTATAAGCTTCCCAAGGCCACAAACACGTTTCACCTTTTTTATGTCTCCCAAGTTTATTGCTGAGAACAGATAGATGCACAGTCGGGCCGTAAAATGTCAATAATAGAAATGAAAGGACATGAGATGGTCATGTGAGCCAGGAAAGAGGAAATGTTATTTTGGCCTTTTCTCAAAATAATCTTTGAACTTGCAGTAAGAGTTTGCAGAAATTCAAGATTGAATTGATAAGCTTCTCCAGTATTACCTGAAGAGTTTGAAAGTCTTCTAACTTTTCTTGAGTGAGTCACAAAGACTTACAGTCTTGTTACTCGACTTAGAGCGTGTCCAAAAAATTATTTTGACATTTTATCTTACAATAAATTCAGAGTCGCTACAGGCATCTCAAACCTGTCTGTTTTTCTAGAGCTGAACTTTAGCACGGGAACTAACACAGAACTAAAAGAACTAAAAAGCATGCTGATGAATAAGTGATCATTAATATTAAAAATAATATTAGGAATGTGTAAATCTTCATGTCAAAAGTGTACTCTAGTGTATTTAATTGTAAATATGAGGGTGCCAGCTGCTGACCTAGAACACAGTTTTGCAAGACGTTCACAGATACAAGTTGTGGTTTTTAATAACTCGCAAGTCACTGGCTGCTCGGCTGCAAACTCTCAGAATTTGGAGACTTCAACTGTTCCTCAAGGTTCTGTACTTGGACCAAAGTTATTTATTTAATGGCGCTTTCACACCAAACGTGATTTCAGCATCAGGAGCATCAGGTTTACATACAAAGTCTATGGTGGACGCGCTTCAATCAGCGTCGGGAAGTGCTGCGGCGCCTCAAGCGCGATTAGAGCAGCGCGATTAGAGTAGCGCGATTTGAACGATCTGAACGTTCGACGTGCTGAGGCGCAAATCGCTGAAGTTAGAAAATCTGAACTTTTGCAGCTCGATGCGCCGCGTCAACCAATCAGAGAGACTCCACTGTGTGACGTAGAGACATATTTCCCGACGGGACAGTTTGCTGAATGATGTCCACTAACCCGAAACAGACAGAGAGGAGCTCTTTAGCTGAAATCGAGTGCCTGCAGTCGGTGTTCTGACAGGAGATATCCGCTCCAATGCGTGGCAGGGGCTCATCAGACTGGACTCGGGACAAAAATAGTCCTGAAAGCGAGCTGTGAGCCTCTCCTGCAGCTCCTGGGTGATGAAACTCAGAATGTCTCTGAATTATCTGGTGAATTAATTATAAATTAATTATCTGATGAACGTGACATGCTCTTGCTCTCTGTAAATAAAACAAAGCCACTTCCTCATCCGACATTAAACAGAGCCCGACAGAGGAGGGAGGGGCGGGGAGGCTCTTGCCGTGCAGCGCTTCAAGAGCTGACCTGCGTCTGACCTCAAAGTGCACAAGCGTCCAACATGAAGCGTTGGATGCGATTTTGAAGCTGAAATCGCGTTCGGTGTGAACGCAGCATTACATGTGATTTAGTGAATGTGTAAGGGTTTTTCAAATGTGTTTTATTTGCAGATGATACTTTTTTTTTGTTTTGGTAAAAATATAGAACAGATGTTAGAAATGATGCAAACAGAATTTGTGAAAATACAAACTTGGTTTAAACTTAATAAATTATCATTAAATTTAGATAAGACTAATTATATGATATTTAGTAATAGAAAGAAAACTGTCGATGTTCCATTTAGAGTCGATGGTATTGAGATCTGTAGAGTCAGTGAGGTGATGTTTCTTGGTGTCATCATTGATGAAAAACTGACATGGAGACCTCATAAAAATAATTTAAGAACAAAAATAGCCAAATCATTGCATTATTGTACAAAGTTAAGGACATATTCAATGATAAAGCACTGTTTATGTTGTATAATGCAATAATTGCTCCACACTTATTATTTTGTTGATGTTTGGTGAAAAGTGTGTAAAACAATAACAAATCCTGTTTTTATTTTACAGAAAAGAGCTGTAAGAAATATCACCAGAAAACGTTAGTCACCCATCAAATTCATTGTTCCATCAGTTGAAGTTATTGAAATTGTATGATTTAATTGATTTATAGTATTTTATCAGTTATGTATAGGGCTCATAAAAACACATTACCTTCAAACATCCAATTACATTTTGTTAAAAGAGTGAGTCGATACAATTTGAAGGGCATAGAAATGTTTGTGAGACCTAAAGATAGAACCAGTTTAAAGGAACAGAGTACTTCAGTCTAAGGTATAAGATTATGGAATAATCTGGAGGATGACATTAAAAATGCCAGATCAATATGTATATTTAAGAGCAGTGCTCCCCAAACTACGGCCTGCGGGCCGAATCCGGCCCGCCTCCCCATTTGGTCCGGCCCCCAGAACAATACCAGAGAGCATTTAGTTTTTTTTTCATATATGTGTATTTATATTTGATTATAAAGTTGGACTTTTGCAATAAAATGCTCCTTAGTTATGAACTATTTTCATTATTAACTATTATTAGTTAGCCCCAGAAAAAAAGTCCTAAACCCGCCCCTCTCAAAGAGAGAATGGAATAATGGCGAAAAGATTAGGTAAGAGAAAAATTGATTCAGAATGCAGGGCATTTAAGCTGCAGTGGACAAACGATTATTTTTTTGTTCATCTGTCAAGAGGCGGTGGTGGTATTCAGAGAATATAATCTGCGGCGTCACTATGAATCCCGTCACAAAGACAAGTATGGTAGCTTGCAAGGCCAAATGCGAGCAAACAAACTCTCAAAGCTAAAAAGTGGACTGTTAGCTCAGCAGAGTACATCCTGTGAAGAACCCAGAGAGGGTTATTTGATTATGTTTTCTGGAAAACAATAAATTTTTACATTTAGGCACTCCTGCAATAGTCACACTTTTTCTGTTACAAACTGACTCCAGCCCCCCACCAGAGAAGGGAAAAGTTATGGGGACCCCTGTTTAAGAGAATGATAAAGGTTAATTTGTTGGAGAAATATGTATAGGTATAATGTACGAATAGTTGCGCAAGAAGGAATTAAACCTTTATTGTTTTTCTTTTATTTTTTGTACGTTTTTGTAAATTGAAGATAAATAAATGTTTTTGCACTGTTGAGTCTAATTAATAAACAGTCGCAGTCCAGTGGGGAAACTACCTTGAGGACTTCATCTGATTATTAGAAACAGAAAGCTACCTTTGATATCTTTATTTCAAATGTTTGCTTTTCTCATCAGTCAAACCAAATGTTTTGCCTCCATGCAGAACTTTTTGTCTATACTGGTTTTTTTTCTCACATTGAATCAGCATATTTTCACACTGCGTTCCTTTAACTTGTAATTTTTGTTTTGTAGGTGTCCTTAGATCAGCAAAGTGCTGCTGTCATTTTTGACCCGAGTCAACAGAGCCCCGGCTCTCTGGCAGAGTGCATCGGGTGCATGGGCTTCGAGTCCAGTGTACCAGAGAGCAGCACAGCCACTCCAGTGTCAACAGAAACCCACCTGATCCCCACGTCTGGCTTGACGCCAGCAGCCCAACGGGAAGCTTTGGAAAAACTGTCGCAGATTCAAGGAGTGCTGGATGTCCGAGAGAGCCCGCCACAGACGGGGCTCGCTGTCACTTTCATTCCTTCTCTGACCTCCGTACAGCAGCTGAGGGAGGTGGTGGATGGAGCGAGACTTGTAGAGATCCAAACTCCAGACTGCCCCGCAGAGAAGGGCCTTAAATTGTCTCCGTCGGACACTGCGGAGGACAGAGCTGCAATTCTGAAGTTATGCATAGATGGAATGACCTGTCACTCTTGCACTACCACTATCGAAGGGAAGATTGGGAAACTGAAAGGAATCGAAAAGATTAGAGGTATTTAATAAACTCAGCAGCTTTTTAATCCTATATAACTACATTACCAAAGCTATAGGAAAGTTTGAGCACAGCTGCTGCTTTGTCCTCCTCAGATTATTGGTGTCGTGTGTCATTGTGTCTTCGGAGACTTCTTTGTAGGGTTTTACTGTGACTCACAAAAGCTTTCACTGCTTCTGTTGGAAGGAGTTGCATGTAGGCTGATAGGATGTTTGCTGAAACCAGATATGTTGTTGTCTTTACAGTGAGCGTATGTGCAGCCAGCTCACGTTTTATTATTTTAAACTAACCAACAAAATATACATTATGATTATACATTTCCTTTTATTAAAATGAAAAATAAAAAGCAGTATTAGTGTTACTTTATGTAAATGTTTTTGCATATGTTGGGATAACTACAGCAATGTACATTACTGTTTAATAAACTGCAGTCACACCACATACCTTTCAGTAAATGAAAGCTAAGTGTTGTTTCAAGCCAAAACTGAGCAAATAAATGATTACCCTGATGAAACTGAGTTGAGAACAAATCTCAGTCAGTTCAGTGGAAGTTCTGTGAAACCTGAGGATTAGATTGTATGTGGACTATTTGAACCTCAGTATTCTAATGCAGCCTGAGGGGACAGTGTAAAAAATGATGCCTGATGTCTATATTACAGTATGCTGGTCTAAAAAAATGCTGCAGATGTTTTAAAAATACAAACACTTGGCCTTTTGTATTGCCCTACAATCAAGTAGACAAAAGGTTTAAACGTATATAATAGAAAGAGGTTTTATTGATAATTTCTTGTCAGCTTTAAGCTAAGCTGAACAGCTCTAACAGTCACTCAGAGATCAATGGACAAAGAACGTGTTCGTATTATCCTAAATTTCTCTTACTTTGTTCGTATGAAGGGTTTGTATGAACATGCCACGTCTGATTCAACAAACTCTTCTATCTTCAGGAAAAGTGTGTAAATGAGGAGCGTAAACTGATGAATGCGTATGCAGGTACAAGGAGAGGTGATTAGCATAATTACCACCCTAAAAACACCATATAATGCTACGTTTCCTGCCCCACATACCAGGAAATGTCCATGCATAAATGACATTGCAAAGTAAAAAGAAGAATTTTACGAGTTTGGAGATTGAAGTCCTGTTCTCAGAGATACAGAAAAGAAAATCTGTCATTTTTAGCAGCGTCAGCTGTGGAATTAAAGGAGCTGCTAAAGCCGAGGAATGTAATTATGACTGCTGTTAATGTCGTGTCTCCTGTGGGTCGTATACAGTCACAGAAACAAAAATCTAAATCATATCTATCTCTAGTCCTGCTCCTGTTTTCCTTTGGTCAAATATTTTTAATGTAAGTGTAAACAACTGTGTTACATAGTTTTTGTTTATTCAGAAGAAGAGCAGTCGCTCCACCGCCCATTTTAAAATGTCTCTAAACTGGTTTGTAGTTTGAGATCTTCATAATATTGTAGTGTTATAAACAGCGTTAATAGATTTAATTTAATCAAATTATGTCGTTAGTCTACATTATTACATTTAAAATTTTAATTCCAATTCAAACAGAACAGCCTCTTGTCAACATAATTATGGAGTGTGATTTATTTTCAACTCGAAATATCTTCAAAATAATGAAATATAAAGTTATTAATGAGAGAGTCCATCTGGATAACAGCAGACTGACTGCTCATAAAATATACGACAGGTCTGCACCACACGTGAATTTTGTTTGTATTTGAAAAAAACTTAGAATACGAGAAAATTGGTGAATGCAACAAATTCTCCTCAATCACTCGTACGCACAACTTAAAGAACAAATCTGTTTGCACGAATGGTTCTTGGATGAGGCCCCTTGTTCTTAGGTTGTGCTGAATTTTAGGAGTCTAAATATTTTGGTCTGTATGGTTTCTATATTTTTAACCTGTTGCTGAAACGTCCAGGTTGAGTTTCTGGGCTCTATTAGTTCATAAAAGGAAAGCCTCACAGGGCAGAAAAAAAATCTAAAGCAAGAATGAAGTAACTTGCTTGTGTAAATGTATTAAGCACATTTGTTTTTTCTCTAATATAAAATTGTAAAATAAGTTGTTTTTTGTTTGTTTTTTTTGTGTTAAATTTGTTGTTTCTTTTCTCTCCACAGTGGTTTTAGACTCTCAGGAAGCTACAGTCGTTTACCTGCCTTACCTCATCACTGTCCAAACCATTATTGACCAGATTGCTGTGGCCGGCTTTAAGGCCTCTGTGAAGTCCAAGCCCCGCCCCCTGCAGCTGTCTCCCAGACAAATCGAATGTTTTGCCGATTCCCAAACACCAACAGCGTCTTCACCGTCAGAAACACTAGAGGAGACAGAAATCTTTATAGACACACACCTTGTCATGCTCAGGGTAAAAGGCATGCACTGCCGCTCGTGTGTGGTCAATATTCAAGACAATGTCTCAAAGCTGCCCGGCGTTTCGGCAGTGGAGGTCTTTCTGGAGAAAGAGAAGGCCTCCATCTGCTACGATCCTCAGAGGATCTCTGTCCCTGAGCTGCAGAGGGCCATCGAAGCGCTGCCTCCGGGTAACTTTAAGACTGAACCCTGGGATTCTTGTGCTCCCAGTGTGGCGTCTACATCACCTCCAACTGCTTCGTCCGCATCACAGCTCTGCTTTACCCAACCTCTGAGTTCTGTCGTTAATATTCACATTGAAGGAATGACGTGCAACTCCTGTGTCCAGTCTATCGAAGCTATGATCTCCCAAAAGAAGGGGGTGTTGTCGACCCGGGTCTCTCTGGTGGATCATCAGGGGACCTTTGAGTATGATCCTCTCTTGACCTCACCAGAAGAGCTGAGAAAGGCCATAGACGACATGGGCTTTGACGCAACTCTACCTGGTAAGACGGTGTGGTAGTAGAGCAATTTCAATTACTTCTATTATTTCATTGATATTCTTCTACTCATCTAATAGTTGTTCCCACAAAGTCATTGTAACTTGGGAGAGAAAAAACCTTGTGACTTCTTACATGTGACTCTCTCTTTAAAACAGAGACCAATTCTCTGCTGCCTGTGGAAGAACACAGTTTTTCAAGATCTCCAGGCCTAGCACGTGTTCACGAGAAGGAGTTAGACGACGATTGTCGCAACAAAATCCTACAGGGGCCCACTGGAGACACGCCTTCAAAATGCTACATCCAGGTTGGAGGGATGACCTGTGCTTCTTGTGTGGCAAACATAGAAAGAAACCTTAAAAATGAACATGGTTTGTAGATTTATCATTTGATCATATATTTTTTTTACTTTATCTTTATTGCTGTTGCTGAAGACTCAAAGGAAATCTCATCTTTCAGGTATTTCTTCTGTTCTGGTCGCACTTATGGCTGGTAAAGCAGAGGTCCGCTATAATCCTAAAGTCATTGACCCTTTGAAGATCGCTGAGTGTATAAAAGAGCTGGGCTTCACCGCCTCGGTGATGGAGGATTACGAAGGCTTGGATGGAAACCTAGAGCTTGTGGTGAGTCAGTAATGGTAATTCAGTTCAAAAATACTTTATTAATCCCAAAGGGAAATTAAACCACAACATGCATGCACCGTTGTTTAGTAGGTCCTACAAGTATAATCCATGAAGAAGCTTTTGTGTTCCAGAATAAGATTCAAGTATACTTACAACAAAGAATTCCTCCTTTTATGACTCCTCACCTTCTTTCAGGTCAGGGGGATGACGTGTGCCTCTTGTGTTCACAAAATTGAATCCAGCCTAGTGAAAGAAAAAGGGATCAAATACGCCTCTGTTGCCCTGGCCACAAACAAGGCCCACATCAAGTTCGACTCCGAAATTATAGGGCCGCGAGACATCATCAAGCTGATTGAGGTATTGTCTTTTTCTCTAGTTATGTTGTTCAAGTTCCCTAGTTGTTTAACTTCAACTGAGTTATGGATTACAGAAAACATAATTTAGTTTTTAATCACACAATCCTGAGGTCTGATCTGCAGCTTGTTGTTTGTAGAAAATGGGATATGAAGCATCTTTGGTAAAGAGGGACAGAACTGCGAGCCACCTGGACCACAGCAAAGAGATACGACAGTAAGGACGTGTTTTTCTTTTCTATTATTTTTACAACTTTATGTTTTGATTTTAAAATGATTTGAAGCAGTGTGAAATACCTCTGTTGTGATAAGTCATAAATCAGTTAATCGCACAATAAATTAGTCCTTTATTTAGTCAGCTTCAGGGAGTGCACGTTCTCGTAACCTCTATAGCACGAGAGCCCCATGAGCAGGCATTTAACTAGAGGAGCGTCTTCAGTTTTATTATTGCATTAGTTTAAAACAGTTTCCAAATAATATTGTTTTTATTGCAATAGTTTAAATCTTCCAGCAAAATTTGTTATTGTGACTGGTCTATCTGCAGAAAGTCATTGTCTCCTTTATCTCCTGTGCTTTGTGTTGATTTTAACTTGAAACACCTTACAGACCAATGCTAACCAAAATGTTAGCGTCACTAACCCCTAAACCGCCACACAAATTATTTAGCTCCGCTACTGCTAAGATACTACACAGACAGAAAAACTGGCAGAAGCTAAACTGCTAATATTTAATATACAGCGGGTAAAATAAGTATTGAACACGTCACCATTTTTCTCAGTAAATATATTACTACAGGTGCTAATGACATGAAATTTTCACCAGATGTTGGTAACAACCCAAGTGATCCATACATACAAAGAAATCAAACCATAACTGTCCAGAAATGAAGTTATTTGTAATAAAGTGGAATGGCACAGGGAAAAAGTATTGAACACACTTACTGAAATTTATCTAATACTTTGTACAAAAGCCTTTGTTGTTAATGACAGCTTCAAGACGCCTCCTGTATGGAGAAACTAGTGGCATGCATTGCTCAGGTGTGATTTTGGCCCATTCTTCCACACAAACAGTCTTCAAATCTTGAAGGTTTCGTGGACCTCTTCTATGAACTCTGATCTTCAGTTCTTTCCATAGATTTTCTGTTGGATTCAGGTCAGGTGATTGGCTGGGCCATTCCAGCAGCTTTAGTTTCTTTCTCTGAAACCAACTGAGAGTTTCCTTGGCTTTGTGTTTGGGCTCATTGTCTTGCTGAAATGTCCAGCCACGTTTCATCTTCATCATCCTGGTAGATGGAAGCAGATTTTTATCAAGAATGTCTCTGTACATTTTTCCACTCATCCTTCCTTCAATTATTTGAAGTTTGCCAGTACCATATGCTGAAAAACAGCCCCACGCCATGATGTTCCCACCTCCAAACTTCACTGTTGGTATGGTGTTTTTGGGCTGATGTGCAGTGCCATTTGACCTCCAAACATGATGTGTATTCTGGCATCCAAACAGTTCAATGTTGGTCTCATCTGACCAGACTATATTCTCCCAGTATTACACAGGCTTGTTTAAATGTTGTGCAGCAAACTTTAAAGGAGCTTCAACATGCTGTTTCTTCAGCAGTGGAGTCTTTCGTGGTGAGCGTGCATACAGGCCATGGTGGTTCAGTGCATTACTTACATAAACTTCATTTCTGGACATTTATGGTTTGATTTCTTTGTATGTATGGATCACTTGGGTTGTTACCAACATCTGGTGAAAATTTCATGTCATTAGCACCTCTAATAATATATTTACTGAGAAAAATGGTGACGTGTTCAATACTTATTTTACCCGCTGTATTAACATCCACCATGTGCCAATAAGGACAATGTGCTGCACAGGCACTCGTTTGTTTTTTGTTTTTTTCTTTTTTTTTTTTTTCTTTTTTTGAATGTGCCCTAGAAAATTTAATAGAAAATACTGTACAAGTGGATTAGCGGAGTTGTGCCCAATACTGTTAGAGACATTATGGTTATGGTTAGTGGGGATAAATATAGAATCCATATGAGCGGAGGCCTCTTAAGTGGGTCCATTGCTCTCCACAAAATATTAGAGATGTTAAAATGACTAATTTTTAGTTTTCTTCACTGCTTTAAATTCTAGAGCACCTTCTTACACACTGGTTGTTTTCATTTTTTCTGATATTACAGTCAACAATTTGTTTCTCTTTTGAATCAAATTTGGTTTCAAAATAAAAACTAAACTTGACATTTTAAGGTGGAGGAAATCCTTCTTTGTGAGTTTGTTCTTCTGCATACCTGTGATGGGCATGATGGTCTACATGATTGTCATGGACCACCAAATGAGCGTTGCTCATCACCACAACGCCACGATGGAGGACCGCAATCATTACCACTCCTCCATGTTCCTGGAGACCCAGCTGCTCCCGGGCCTCTCCATCATGAATCTCCTGTCTTTCCTTTTCTGCGTACCTGTACAGGTAAATGACAGGGATTAAACACGGAGCACTGGGAAGTAAGAACCGATGTAGAGGCTTTATTTTTTCTCCTCAGTTCATTGGCGGTCGTTACTTCTACGTACAAGCCTTCAAAGCTCTGAAACACAAGTCGGCCAACATGGACGTGCTGATCGTTTTGGCCACCACCATAGCCTTCAGCTACTCGTGTGTCGTCCTGTTGGTGGCCATGGTGGAGAAAGCAAAAATCAACCCCATCACGTTCTTCGACACGCCTCCCATGCTCTTCGTCTTCATCTCTCTGGGACGCTGGCTGGAGCAGATCGCTAAGGTTCAGCTCCTCACGTTTAATGATTCCTGCTGCTTTTAGTCAACTTTTTAAATCTTTTACCTCAATACTCTGCATTAGAGGAATGTAATGTTTGTGTGCTGCCTTCCAGAGTAAAACATCTGAGGCTTTGTCCAAGCTGATGTCTTTACAAGCTACAGAGGCGACGGTCGTCACTCTCGGCAACAACAATAGCATTCTCAGGTAATCTTTGCTTTCACCCTAACCTCTCACATAGTTGACTTTAGAGTGCAGCACATGTAAAATGAAAGACGATTGACAGTTTATGTCCATCACATTTAAATCTAACAATGATATCCACAGTACAGCTGAACAGTTTGATTGTGTTCCAGCGAGGAGCAGGTGGATGTTGAGCTGGTGCAGAGAGGCGATGTGGTGAAAGTCGTCCCCGGAGGGAAGTTCCCAGTTGATGGGAGGGTCGTTGAGGGACATTCGATGGCTGACGAGTCTCTCATCACAGGTTTGTTGAACTAATTACTATTAGGTGGTGATGAAAAGTTCGGTTTCACTATTTATGGTGAGCTGTTTAATGTTACACTGCAAAAACTGTCCATCTTACCAAGTTTTAAAATCTTATATCAGCCAAAAAGTCTTTTTGATCAAGTTTTGAGACTCATTTACTTAACAAGAACTGATTGTGTAAGAATAATAATCTTGTTTTCAGAATGTGTAAGATTATTTGTCTTGCTAGTCTGAAAATTGGACTAAAATTAAGTAAAGAAAATTCTGCCAATGGAGTAAGAAAAATTTACTTGGTAAGATTCTTGAAATAAGAAAAAACTGAATCAAATCAAGTATTTTAAGAATCTTAACAAGTAAAATTTTCTTACTCCATTGGCAGAATTTTTTTTACTTAATTTTAGTCAAAATTTCAGACTAAAAACACAAATAATCTTACACATTCTGAAAACAAGATGATTATTCTTACACAATCAGTTCTTGTTTACTAAATCAGTCTCAAAACAAGATCAAAAAGACTTTTTGGCTGGATAAGAGTGTGGCAACCAGAAGTTGCACAGCCTTGGTTAACTACCGTTACAAGATTTTAAAACTTGGTTAGGTGGGCATTTTTTGCTGTGTATGAGCTGATTCAGGAAGAATCAGTTTGTACTCATCCTGCTAACAGGATCTTTGGGTTTGTTTGAATGAAGCTTTTTTAAAATGTTGTCTACAACAAGTAAAATACTGTTTTATAGCTTCTTGAATGGCCTCAGTTTGCGGAGGTAAATTGTTATTTCTGACTGGAATGAGAAGCTAACGGCCCATCGGAGTGATTTACTTATAATAATTATATTTTAAAAAATAAACAAACAAACAAACAAATAATAATAATAATAATTTAATTTGTAACACTTTTCATTAGAAAAAATCTCAAAGTGCTAAGTAATTCTATCTTAAAACAATTAATTTCAAGTTTTAAATGCTTTGCTATAAAACACTGCTGTAAATCTCACATTACAGTTATTTACATAGAATTATGTGGTTATTTTCAACTGTAAATAGCAGTATATGCTAGCAGTAGCACTTCTGGTGCAGCCTGGGAATCAGTTTGTAGAGGAGTTTTATATTTCTGCTGTGTAATGTTTATTTGAACTGCTACAAAATGAGATTGCTTCGATTGCAGGTTAGATATTAATTGTTCATAACCTCTCCACAGAACCCTACTTCTAAAGATCCAAACAATCACTAACCAGAATGTGAACAGCAGCATTATGATGAAAAGGATAAACACCTTTGCTATTGTTTTTCTTAACCACAACTTCATTGTCAGTCTGTTTGTCGACCTTTGAGGGTTTTGTTCATTTGAGAAGCTAAAATTTCACAATTTAACCGTTAACGTTGTCTGTTTCTGCTGAGCTCACAGTATGTTGACCAAATAAGTGTCTGTGTGTTGTTCTCACCCTTAACCCAGTCTTTGGTTGTTTGACCTGTTCCAGTTTGTTTTCGTCTCTCACGTTTTGTTTGTTTTCGTTCTGATCGGTTGTTACTCTGTCGTTCCAGGCGAGGCCATGCCAGTGACAAAAAAGCCCGGGAGCTCGGTGATCGCCGGCTCCATAAACCAGAACGGCTCTCTGCTCGTCAGCGCCACTCACGTTGGGCAGGACACCACCCTGTCTCAGATCGTTAAACTCGTGGAGGCGGCTCAGATTTCTAAGGTGAGCGATGCTGAAACATCCGTCCTGTGTTTATAAACTGAGCGTTATACGCTGCGTAGGTGTAATAGTTATTTGCGTGGTGTATTTTAGGCTCCTATTCAGCAGTATGCAGATAAGATCAGCGGCTACTTTGTGCCTTTCATCGTTGGCATTTCTGTGCTGACGCTGATCGCCTGGATCATCATTGGGTTTTTAGACTTCAGTCTCGTGGAGCGCATCTTTCCTGTGAGTTCCTGTTTTTTCCCCCACATCTTACTCTGTTCCTATAAAGAGTTAAAACCTCACAGATCTTTCCTCCCTCCTTTCAGGGTTACGATAAAAGCATTTGCGAAGCAGAGGCAGTGATCAGATTTGCCTTCCAGGCCTCCATTACAGTTTTGTGCATCGCCTGCCCCTGCTCTCTTGGCCTGGCAACCCCGACCGCTGTCATGGTGGGCACAGGGGTCGGAGCTCAAAACGGCATCTTGATAAAGGGAGGAGAGCCTCTTGAGATGGCACACAAGGTGCGTTAGTGACGATGCTCTACAAAAACAACTAATAATCTTTCTGAAAGTCTTATTTAACACATTTAATCCCAAATTTTTCCTTGCAAAATAACTTCATACTCTTCATTCCTTAGACCTCCCTAAGACATAATATTTATGATTTTTTTTTTTCATTTTATGTTGATTGTGTTAGTGAAAATGTAGGTTTTGTACTCTGCAAGGGAAACAGTGTAGTCTATATTGACACAAATCCTTTATTCTGACCTATTACACACATGAAAAATATAAATAACAATAACATGCATAACATGTTATAACAAGGCATGGGTACAAGTTCAACATTAGGAATGACTGCAATGTAGCACAGCGTTTTTTAAAGTGGGGGCCACGGCCTCCTAGGGGGTCGCCAGGGAGCATTATGGGGTCCTCAGAAAGCTGGAGGGGATAAGGTGAGGAAAAAAGGCAAAAACCTAAAATTTAAATCTAATGAATATTTTAAATTATTCTCATAAAATTGAATCTGTTTTTCAATCATTAATTAAAAATATTACTTATAAAAAATATATTGAAATGTTATTTAGGAGAGCAGTTTGATTCCTTTTGTTCTGTTCTTATTGTCAACAGCTGGTTTGTCAGTGAGATTATAATATTATTTAACACATTTTAGTTAATAAAATTACTATGCTAAACAAATACAATACTTAAAACAAAGTCATGACCCCCTGATGTAGCTCACATCATTTTGGGGTTCTTTCAGGTCTAAAAGATTTAAAACATCTGATGGTTTTAATCTGAATGGAAAAAACCCTATAAGATAAATAAAATAAACAGTTAAACCTTTGACAGCTAGCGTAGCTCTGTCTATGTGTTATACTAGCGGCAACAATTGTTGCCGTGCTTACATTCAAAAGATGCATGCAAGCATAAAATTCTCAATATATCTCAGCAGAAGACTCTTTAAAGAATATATGTACAAAATATTTCAATTATGTGTTTATTAAGATATTTTATTCTCTCCCTTTATACCAGTTTGAGGTAGACATTTCCCTCCAGCAGGGCAGGCAGGAAGTCAAGGAGTGTGGTCATTAAATTAGTATAACTAAGAGTAGACAGCCTATTATACTGTTGTAAAACTTAAATTAGCTGCCCTGAACCAAAATAACACTTTTAGAGCTTCCAGAAGTAAAACAAATGATTGTTCCATGCAGGTTCGATCGGTGGTGTTTGACAAGACGGGGACCATCACCTACGGTGCTCCAAAGGTCGTCCAGGTCAAGATGGTGGTGCAGGGGAATAAGATGACTCGCTCCCGCCTGCTGGCCATTGTCGGCACAGCTGAAAACAACAGCGAGCACCCACTGGGAGCAGCCATCACCAGATACTGTAAACAGGTCGGTGGCAACATGAGATTTGACCCACTTACAAATCCTGCAAAGTGCCGCTCTGACCCCGAGACGCTCGATTACTTCCTGCGTGCAGGAACTCTGCACAGAATCCCTCGGCACGTGCACAGACTTCCAGGCAGTGCCGGGCTGCGGCATCCGGTGTCAGGTCAGCAGCACGGAGACCCTGCTGAGGCAGCTGGACAGCGACAGCGAGGACAACAACCAGCGCAACAGCGTCCTCGTCCAGATCAGTGACACTCTGACGGCCAGCAGCTCCCATCCTCTCATCATGGACCCGCAGCCGCTAAGTGTGTCGAAGACTTCAACCCGTCTTATTTCAGATATAAATAAAGGTTTACTTGAGTCACTTTTTATTTCCTGTCTCCATCAGGCTTGGTTCAGACAGCCAGTTATGTCGTCCTGATCGGCAACAGGGAGTGGATGAAAAGAAACTGCCTCCACGTCGACGCAGAGGTCAACGAAGCCATGGTGGAACACGAGCGCAGAGGCCGCACAGCTGTTCTAGTAGCTGTAGACAGTGAGTGATGTTTCACACTACATTCAGTCATTTATGCTACTAGAAGAAATCACACTTTTACCTTTTCTCTTTGTGTGTTTAGATGAGCTGTGTGCGATGATAGCCATAGCCGACACAGTGAAACCCGAGGCTAAGCTGGCGGTGGACACGCTGACCAGCATGGGGCTGGAAGTGGTTCTGATGACCGGAGACAACAGCAAGACGGCTCGAGCCATCGCTGCTCAGGTAAACAAACACGATAAACCCATTACACTTTTTTCATACAGACGTATTATCTTTATATTTCAGCACAGAGGTACACCACAACACCATCATACTGTCTGAGTTTATTTACATCCTTCAGTTAGTTCATTTTATTTGGTTGTGTTCCAACAGGTGGGCATCAGGAAGGTGTTTGCAGAGGTGCTGCCCTCCCACAAGGTGGCCAAAGTGGAGCAGCTGCAGCAGACTGGAATACGAGTGGCCATGGTGGGGGACGGGGTGAACGACTCGCCCGCTCTGGCCATGGCTGACATCGGCATCGCCATAGGAACCGGGACAGATGTTGCCATAGAGGCAGCAGATGTGGTGCTGATCAGGGTAAGAATAAAAACGATTCTAGCATACACATGTTTTATGGATGCATGATTTCACATTAAAACCGAGCGTTGATCTTTACTGATTAGGAGTTATTGTTAGCCACACAACAAACGAGCCTGATTACAGCCTCTTAAGTTGAGAGAAACCTGTTCATTGAGGGGAAGAATTGGGGATTTAGTGGCAGAAATATTAGCCTGGCCCTTGCCTTTCTACGCAGCTCCGCTCAATTGTAGTTTAGCTTCTCTGCTCTGTCTGGGATTTCTCCCATAGACAAGGATTTCGCTGGCAGGTTTTTAGCCAAAACAATCAGAACAGAACGTCAATTTTCTGCACAATGTCTGCTTGTAGTTTATTTTACCTGGGCCAATCAACAAACAGAAGGAGGAGTTTTGAATGACGTTGAATTTCTGCTCAGTGTCTGCTAGTTAGTTTAACATACGGCAGTGGAGGAAGTGACTGAAGCCAGTCCGTGTTGATAAGGCTTCCAAATTAAAAAAAAATTTGTCTGACAAAGCAGCAGCTCTCATTTACAGTCGTCTCGTTCYYRTCGGTACTTTTCTCCTCTCAGTAGGGTTGTTTACAGCACACGCGATTTCTGGTTAGCTTCTTAGCTTAGCTTCCTTCACAGCAACACACACACGCTTCAGCAGAGGCCACGCCTCCTGCAAGAAATCGCTTCTCAATAGCAGAAAGTCCAGACCCTCGTACGAAGCAAAGTGAAGGACAGGGTCTGGTTTTTACCAGGCTACAGAAATATATTTATCTTTAGGTTTTATTTTTGTTATGAGTTGTATTCAGTGTCAGAACTTGTGTTTGCAGAATGATTTACTGGATGTCGTCGGCAGTATCGACCTCTCTAAAAAGACTGTGAAAAGGATAAGGATCAACTTTATCTTTGCTCTTATCTACAACCTGGTTGGAATTCCCATCGCTGCTGGTAGGCTCTACAGAGACATTTCATCACCAGGAGCATTTAGAGGAAACCAGTGCTGAGGTTTTCATTTCTGCAGGTGTGTTTCTTCCCCTGGGTCTGGTGCTGCAGCCGTGGATGGGCTCTGCTGCGATGGCGCTGTCCTCTGTCTCTGTCGTTTTATCCTCTCTTCTCCTCAAATGGTAGCCAGATGCTTTGATGTATCCGAATGCTGTTTTTCTGCACCTCTTTGTTGTGTTAATTTTTATTTATTTTTCCCTCCTGCAGTTACACTAAGCCCACCGCTGAGAAGCTGGAGGCCAAGTTTGGGAACCGCAGACCACAGGGCAGCTTGTCTGACATCAGCGTCCACATCGGCATGGGAGACGTGCGCCGTCCTTCCCCCAGACTCAGCCTGCTGGACCGCATCGTGAACTACAGCCGGGCCTCCATCAACTCGCTGCGCTCCGACAAACACTCGCTCAACAGCCTGGTGCTCAACGAGCCCGACAAGCACTCGCTGCTGGTGGAGGGGACGCTGTGCGAGGAGGAGTTCTGCTGAGCGCCAGTAAAGACTCTTATCACAGTAACCGCAGTCAGGACCGGACCCAGTGAAAACGTTACGATGAGTATTGGTCCGGTCCATCTGCTGAACAGAAACGTCCCGAATCCAAAGACTTTTAAACCTCTGCGCCCCAGCAGAACACTTCAGAGTTTTAACTAAACTTCCTTTAAAAGGGGGAAAAAAAACACTGCTGAATAATTATTCTTCAGACTATTTATAATATTTATCTACTTTTATTTGTATATCCTCTCAAAGAATTTAATTGTTGAATCCAAATGTCCATTTTAAATTTTAAACTGCACCAAAATGTGTATTAATGTGATTGAAAACGAATGGAAGCAGCCTTAAAACAAGCAGTAAAAGATGTAAAACGCAGCGGAGCGAGCTGTAAACACTGTTACCCACAAGTGCCGACACATTCCAAAGATCGCACCAAACAGACTCTGAAGCTTCTTGTTCGCAAACTGTGAGCGAAGGTCAACGCTCGAAATGAGACGTCCGGTTTCTGCACTTTGTCGATGCGACTATTACTCGTTTGTAACTCAAGGCGCTGATACCGATTGTACGGCGTTGCGTTTGACCGTGAAGAGGCCAAACTGAAGTGTTTATGTTCACGTGTTGTACTAACGCAGGTCTGCCAGTTCTTCTGCTTCTTTTTGTTTCGTTTGAAGGATTTCTGTGAACGCACTTGAATTACGGCAGGAACCGATCGACCAAACCTGCTCTGATGAAATATGTAGCTTGGTTACAAAATCACTTTGTATAATCAAAGCAAAAGAGATTAGGCTCGTCGCAGAACTGTCTTGCTGTCTTTTTTGCACCGTTTTTAAACCATAGGGTCACATTTAGGAAAAAAAAAGTCTGTTTTGTCAGTTTGATTGTAAAAAGATCTGTTCTGTAGCGATGGTGTCTCGCTGAGCGCAGTGAAATCTCATTTTCGTGCGGTGTCTTTGTAAACAGGTCAACAGATCTGTGTGCAGTTTGTGTTTCTCTGAACATTTTGTGCCTTTGAATAAAAACGTGTTTGTAACGTCATGCTGTGACCACAAGGTGGTGCTGATGAGCAACAAACTGAGGTTTAGATCAACTTTTATTTCATCCATTTATTAACATTACATCACCCCAGAATACTGCAAAACAATCACATACAGTTTTTGTTACAGTACTTCAAATATTCTTTGAATCAATGCGAGCTGTTGGTTTGTGCTTCTTCAATTCTGCCTCTTTATCAAGAAGATAATTTAACAATTTCCTCGTTAAAATGCAGTTAAAGATTAGAATTAAAATATTTCTTCCCAGGCTGAAGTTTTTTCCTTCTCTTGTTGATTACTGTGGTCAGTAAACTGAGCAAGTTTTAAAAAAAGGTGCAGCATTTTTTTTCATGTCATTAAAACATTGTGCTTGTCTACACATTACACACCTTTAAAACCCGGGGACGAAGAGTATCGCTACATTCAGTCACCTCCAACACAAGAAACGGTTTAACTTTGCCCCGAAATGGCGAGGAACGAGTACGATACGTCTTCCTGGAAACACCGACAGTTCAAAGTTATTTTGACAAAGATGCGTGAAGAGGTTACAGCTTTAGAAACAAACACTTGACTGACATGAAACCCCCTGAAAGGATGAGCGGTCACAAAGCTTCTGATGGATTCTCATCATGTAAACCTTTGTATTTCAGAATATTCCTGGTCATTTAAAACATTTAACTTCCTTTTCTTTAAATGATGCTTATAATAATCCCTGATTTATAAACATTTGGTGATGTTTCTGACATGTGGGACTCTGTTACAGTTTGATACACCAGCAGAACAAAAGAAAAAGTTCAAACTGACTCATCTGGAAACGGCACAAAGAAAGACATCCCCACATCAAACATTCCTGAAACCCGCAGAGCTAAAACGTGTCACAGAAAAAAAGTTCCAAGTTCACACTTGAAAGAACAATTCAAATAAAATGTTAAAAGTCACAAAACGAACGACCTTCCCGCCCGATTAGTAAACATAAACTTAGCTGTACCCATGCGAGTATTTTGAACATAAAATATTCTGTTCAGAAGTCCATAAAAACAATTTCATTTAACTTCCGTCTCATTTGAAAATGCATCTCTGCGCAGCCTTGTTCTCGCCTGTTGAATTTACAGCGACCGCAGATAAACGCTTCGAGGCTCACTGAAACGTTGGTCCTCATGGCCTCCATGTTGCACCAACCTGACAGAGCCGGGGCTCAAATCCATGACGCTCACATGGGGAGTGATTTGTTCACGCGTCTGTCGAGCAGAATAAATAATATGCTAAACACGAATCGTTAAGAATAGCACCATTGGCCCGTCACGAATTACAGGGGAGGTCCCTTTGAGAACTGATGTCTGGAGACGTGATCAGATTCATACTTGTTTGTTATAAGTTAGAGTAGAATTAAGAGGTTGCAATTGTTTTAAAAAAAGTGTATAATTTTGGCTGAGTCATAATAATAATAATAATAAAAATTTGCTTCAGACAATCCGACACAGCTGTCATGAGACCCTCTCTTGCCGTTTCTTAAATAAAGCAAACATTTGTCCCTGTTTTTTTACAACAACACGGACCGAGTCCTTGGATGTTTATGTGAATGACGGGAATGTGACGAAACAAACTTAACTTTGGCACACTGAGTGAGGGAGAGCAGGCAGAGAGGTGAGGGTCGAGCCTGCAGCGGAGTTATGACGGTGTGTGTGTGAGGGGGTGTATGGGATAAATCTTGTGCCAGCAGGAATTACATTTAAAATGAATGCATTGGTTTGAAAATAAATTTCACTAAATTGAAACTGAATTTAAAGTTTTGWATRTGAATTAATTTGCTTTGAAACTGTATTTTGGTTTATTAAAAATTCAGTTTGACTACTTTCACTTTCAGCTCCAAAATTCAAATTTTTGTGTCACATCCTTGTCTCTGAGAAAGCCAGCCAGAGTAATCAAACACAGATCCACAGATTTACGTTTCACTTTGGTGAAGTTTCTCTTCTGTAATGTAATAGAGTTGATGCAATCCACCGTAAAAGTAATCACTGCAATATTTTATTGCAGTGATTACTTTTACCTATAGAAAATGTTGCATTTACATCACATCATGGATCAGTCAGCAGCAGCATCTGATCAACATGTGATCCATGATGTGGTGTAAATTTAACATTTTCTACATATAGGTAAAATTAATCACTGCAATAAAATAACTTTGTTTTTGTCACTTTTACAGTGGATCGCATCAACTCTGTTACATAGAAGGGAAACTTCACCAAAGTGAAACGTAAATCTGTGGATCTGTGTTTGATTACTCTGGCTGGCTTTGTCAAGGACCAGGATGTGTGACACAAAAATCTGATATTTAGAACTGAAATTGAAAGTAGTCAAACTGAATTTTTAATAAACCAAAATTCAGTTTCAAACCATTAAATTGTTTCAATTTAGTGAAATTTCTTTTCAAACCAATGCATTCAGTTTCAGATTATACAGATTCAATCTGAGCAATTCAAATTCAATTCCTGCTGGCACAAGATTTATCCCATTGGAGGGAGGGGAGTGGGGGCGCACACACTCATAGCCCCTTGTTGAAGTAGACCCTCTCCACGCCGGGGTGGCTGGCTCGGATTTTCTCCTGCAGCTCCGGCTCCAAGCGGCTGACTGACATGGAGCTGAGGGAGAGCAGAGAGGGTTAACAGGGGTCCGACTGTCATCTCTAGATCGTGTTTGGAAGTTTTTACTCACCTCTTCTGAGGGAACAACGCGCAGCACAGGGGCGTGGCAAACACCAGGCTAAAAAGTAAAAAAATAAGAACCGACTTTATTCACACAGGTTGGGAGTAATTGGGCTGAAATTTGAGAGGATTTGCTGATGAGGGCTTATCAGTGGGCCCATCTCTGACGACTCACCAGAATCCCACCAGGCTGACTTGAATAGGTGCACTCATCCATGGGAACCGCTGAAAAGAAACCGAGCACACAAAAGCTGCGGTGAACTCCCCTAGACTGGGTTTCACTCCTCTGGTGAGTGATTTCTAAAAAGGGGGGCTGCATCATTCACACTCCTACTGCCTACCTTCAGAAAAGCTTTCTTCTCCAGGTGATTCATTAAAAATGGGGGGATAGCTGGGAAAACACAGATATATCTTTGTGTAAACATTAAAGTTTGTGTTCAAATTCAGGTGTTTTTTTTTTTTCTAAATCAGGAGATTTCTGTACCCATCCCTGGAGAGGCCATGAGGATCCTGGAGACCACGACCTGAGAGATGGCCTGCTGCGCAGCTTTCGTCGACTCCCCGAGCCTGTTGTCGTTTTCATCCGTTATGGGGATGCCGTGTTGGAGCTCCCTGAAGACAGGAGGAAAGGTCAAAGAAAACTGAGCAAAAAGGTGCAACACGATGGTGGAAATACTGTCATAATTATTATTTAATATGCTCATTAAAACTCGTTTGCTCCTTCGTGAGATATTTTGCTGACACACACAGTCAAATAAAACCTAAATATACATCTAATTTTACAAACGAACAAATGGAATGAGAACATTTGATTTATTAAATTATTTACTGACAGACACAATCCAGGCTTACACATCTGTGAGCAGCGGTTTAATCTAATCCTCCAGGATTAAGTCTTTGATGTGGTAGTAGCTGACCATCATCCCTAACACATATTTCTATTGCTAAAGAAGCTAGCAATAAAAATACGAGATTGCACATTAACAAAAGCTAAAAGGTCAAAGCTGGGGTGGGAAATATACATTCCTTTAAAAGATGATATGGACTCCTACAGGAAGTATTATGTATTATGTTCTATTATGTGAGAAACATGTCAACAAGTCAAATTTATCTTTGCTAACTCATAAGCCGCTAACTAAAAATACATCTTCACTAAACCTGTAAAAAAAAATAGTAAAAACTAATGCTAGACAAGTAAAAATAAAACACTGACAAATAATTGCTAACTTCTGTCTGTGTCATGTCTCTTTATCTCTTTTGAACTGAAGACCGGTGGGAATGACACCAACGTTAGCTTGTTAGTTAGCTGTTAGCTTTCAAATGCTGTTCAAAGTTAGTGAAAAACCTAAACTGCTAAAAGAAAAAAAATTTGTCCTGATATTAGCGGTTAACTGATTAGCAGAACCATGCCCACCCCTGAAAGAAAAACAGTGTATTGTGAGTTATTTACCTCTGTCTCATCAGAGGGATGTTGATACAGTTAGCAGCAGCTACAGCAGCAAATGGAACAAACCGTCCAATCAGAGGGGAGACGTGCTGCAACAGGAGGGAGAAAAATGTTCAGTAACTCTGCTGCAAAAAAATACAAAAAACAAAACACGATCAACCTTTAAAGGGATCCATGATTAGTTGTAACATTAGACTTTATTTAATAAACATATTTTAACTGTAAAATAAAGACTGTAAAAATACAGTAGGGTGTTCAGTTATATTTTAACACGGACGGGGCCATTTTATTTACACACAAAGCATTCTGGGTAAATGATGACTTGGATAGGTCATCAGTACGAGGCTGCTAGCGAGCTATATCCACCCTGAAGGTTAATCTTGGACAATATTTGATGTTTGGCTCTTTTAAATGAAGCCAGAGAGCGTTGACGGAGAGGAGAAGGTAGAAATGACTCAGCCTGTCACTGTAAATATGGATGGAGGACCTCAGTTTAGCTTGTTTGTCACGCTAGCGCCGAGCTAATATATTTAAGGCAATATAGTGTCAGCACTAGCGCAAAAGCTAACAGGCTAAGCTGAGGTTCTTCTTCCATGAAGCAGCTCTGTTGTCCTCCATCCATATTTTCAGTTACAGGCTGAGTCATTTCTACCTTCTCCTCTCTGTCAACGCTCTCTGGTTTCATTTAAAAGAGTCGATCATCAGATATTGTCCAAGATTAACCTTCAGGGTGGATATAGCTCGCTCACACCGAGGACCTATCCACGTCATCATTTACCCAGAACGCTTTGTGTGTAAATAAAATGGCTCCATTCATGTTAAAATATATTTTAAAAAATTTACAAAACTAAACAGCCTACAGTATTTTTACAGTCTTTATTTTACAGTTAAAATAAATGTTTATAAAATAAAGTCTAATGTTACAACTAATCATGGATCTCTTTAAGATCAACAGAAGCCTCAAAGTTTTACTGCCACAAGCAGAATCTCAAATATTAAAAGTCAACTCTGTCATGCCAACACACTCACATATGCAGGGTGAACACATTAAAATGAGGCGCAGTAGATGGGGTTAGATGGACTGATACCTTTGTTAGTGCATTTAGTCCTAGAGCAGTGGCAACTGCCCCCGTGGTGGCAGACACATAAGCTGTGCCAAGCTGACTGCAAACAAGAGAGTGGCGTTAGACTCAGCCCGTCCACACAGGAAGTGCTGAATTAAAGGGTTATTAGTGTCGAGAGTCAGAGCTCCAGCATCGCTCTCCTACTTGACTGTGATTGGAGCGTCGCCGCTCCGGTTTGTGTAGTTGACGATGGCGTTGAACGACTGATTGATCCACTGCCAGAACAACACGGCGGGGGTTGTCCTGCAAAGATTCAATGGGAGGCGTAAAAAAAAGACAAGTCTGTGCACGCAGAACCGTCGGACAGTTCAAGCCTTACTTGTAGAACGTCATCATGCAGCCGGTGATGGTCATGTTCATGGGGACCTGCGCTGACATGCGGCCGATCAGGATCATCTTCTCTCCGGTGTCGGGATGGAAAGCCGAGTCGAACACGTACTTGGCTCTCCACAGTTCATCCTCAGTCAGGCCCGGGGAGACCACGCCTTTCCTGCAGGGCAGGAAGACAGACTTGTGTCATTTTAGCACCTGATTCACCTGCTGCTGCAGCGGCGTGAGGGGGTGGAGTTAATGGGCCTCATGCAAGAACATGTTCGTATTCTTAAATTTCTCTTACTTTGTTCGTACGAACATGTCACGTCTGATTCAACAAACTCTTCTATCTCCAGGAAAAGTGTGTAAATGAGCAGCTGACAAATACCACTTGTTTGTATCAGCTGCTCATGCACGAGGAGATTAACATAATTACCACCCTAAAAACACCATATAAGGGCATATTTCCTGCCCCACATACCAGGAAGTGTCCATTCATAAATGACACCGCAGAGTAAAAACAAGAGCTTCATGAGTTTGGAGATTGAAGTCCTGCTCTCAGAGATCCAGAAAAGAAAACAAATAAATCTGTAATTTTTAGCAGCATCAGACCTGCTAAAGCAGAGAGGAATGAAATGATGACTGTTAATGTCGTGTCTCCTGTGGGTCATATACAGTCACAGAAATAAAAATATAAATCATATTCATCTCTCTCTAATCCTGTGCCGGTTTTCCATTGGTCAAATATTTTTAATGTAAGTGTAAACAACTGTGTTACATAGTTTTCATTTATTCAGAAGAAGAGCAGTCTGGCGCTTTGGAGAAAATAGCACAGCTGATGTGCTGAATAAATCTCAACAAAATAAAATATGACAAAAAAAAACAAGCTATAAAGCTCATTATGTACTGAGACTAATTAAACTTAATTTAATTTAAGTTGGTTTGTAGTTTGAGATCTTCTTATTAATATTGTAGTGCTGTACAACAGCATTAATAGCAAATTTAATTTAATTTAACCAATTTATGTCATTAGTCTACATTATTGCATTTAAAATTATAACTCTAATTCAAGCAGAACAGCCTCTTGTCAACATAATTATGGAGTGTGATTTATTTTCAACTCAAAATATCTTCAAACTAACGAAATATAAAGTTATTAGTGAAGAAAATCCATCTGAATAACAGCAGACTGACTGCTAGTAAAATATACGACAGGTCTGGACCAGTCGTGGACTGAAGACCCCTTATGACAGACGTTACCATTGGATCTGGCGTTCCCTCGCCCGGACGCGGGTCACCGGGGCCTCCCTCTGGAGCCAGGCCTGGAGGTGGGGCACGATGGCGAGCGCCTGGTGGCCGGGCTTTCACCCACGGAGCCCGGCCGGGCTCAGCCCGAAGAGGAGACGTGGGTCCCCCTTCCAACGGGCTCACCACCTGTAGGAGGAGCCAAAGGGGTCGGATGCAGTGTGAAATGGGCGGCGGCCGAAGGAGGGGACCCTGGGCGGTCTGACCCTCTGCTGCAGAAGCTGGCTCTTGGGACGTGGAACGTCATCTCTC